TTTCCCTCCAGCTGTGTTCAAAGCGCTCCACAATGTTCTTCATGACATGTTCCAATGCTTTGTCTTCGCATCATTATCATTTTCTACAGGTCCCTTCAAGACCATGCTTAACATGTCTCCAAAGTCCCTCAGCGGGGGAGAATCAGTTTTATGTCAAATCCAAAATGTGTGAGTTCAGTGTCTCGACCACCTCCTTGCTGAGATTCATCATTTCTGTACAGGCGGACTATACCAAAGTCAGCAAACAAATGGCAACAACCCAATTCCGTCATACAGCTGCAATGTCTTCTGAGTACTGCCAACTTTTACCCACATAAGCTACACTTTTGTGGCAGTACCATTTTCTTCTTTTTTCACTATATTCACATTATTCACCTGGACTCCTGAGCCAATGCATTACGTCTGTGGAGCTAAGTATCACCATAGCACCTTATGTATACTGATCCACCCTGACCATCATGTGAGTCATTCACTATGAGGGTACCACCATTTCCTCAGTTATAAGAAACTCCATTCCGTTGCACACCTCTCCAGCCACCAGTGGAAAGGAACTTTACTGGCAATCAAGAAATGTATGTAGCTAAACTGTTGCTAGAGTAATAACACTAGCGGGAGCACTCAACAGGCATGATACAGCTGTGACTGTGATAGGTCACTTTACTTATGTCTCTCCACTTGTCTTTGTCTCCCCTGTCTGGGTTTATAGTTTCCAACTGTGCTTTCTCCTTGGCCCTGAGTGGTTCCAACAGAGAGAAGCTTTTTCTCCATGTGGATGCAGTGCCTTAGGTGCTTAGCTTCCACTATTTACCTCAGCATCTGCCTATGCAAACCTCTGCTTTCACTGTACTCATTTGCTTAATTGTTATGTGTGCTCTGCTCTGCATATGTTATTCTACATTTACTCGACTTCCCGGGATCCTGTAATTTTACTGCTCTGCCTTCATTCAAAAAACTGCCAAACTCTAATCCTGCCTACAGCTGGGTGTTTTCTTTTGGGTCCAAGTGTGATTCTAACCAAACAGTGACAACGATTTTTAGCCAAATCTGTCTAACACAATATAAACAATCATATGTGTTCACTTAAGTAGAACATAAAATGTTTTTTATTTAAAAACAGGGTCAGTAGTTTTCTCCACCATAGAAACCCAGAATTTGTGTCTAAGTAGCATCAATTCTGTCTCTGATTCCATAGATGCAGATAACACAACTAAAACTGCATTAAATATATGATATGCATAGGATATGGTCTACTTATCCATGATGACCAGGAAATAATGACACCAAGGTGAGCACTACTGTGTGACAATGGCTCTATGTTGAATTTCACATTAACGCCAATGTACCATTTGCATAGGGGCTAGTGAAGTTCTCTTAAAGTTTTCACACACAAGTTTTAGCTCATTCTGCATCATCAGAGGAAGAGGTGATTATCAGGGTGCCACAGCCACACACCACACATATTTATCACTTTAAGGAGATAATTGGGTGTGAAAACCTTGGAGACAGGATATAACAAATGAATCACTAGAACAAAATTACTTTCATAACTTGTTTTGTAACCTTTGCAGGCTACAAATAAATTTAACAAGTTGCAAATTAAGTGACATATTGATAGTTAAAACATCTGTATATTACATGTGTTATTTATAGAAAACCTACACCATGTAATTGTTTACTGCACAGATGTGCATGATAATGACACATTATAAGGAATGTACCCTATGGAATTATGAAGGATATTTTATGTTACTGAGTTGTACTGGCACATGTGTTCATGTAACTGTGCTTATGCCTCTTCAACAAACACAAACACTGCTTGTTTGTTGCTTTAACAGGTGAAGCAACGCTGAATATATTAGTGAAGATATTAGTGAGAACACCACTAACTCATATATACATATATTATCAGATTATTTGAGACATTTTCACTTTAGTTCAATTACACATAATAAATTGAAGTGACAAGGATACACTTTATATATTTATATATTACAAAATTAATTAAAAGTACTCAAAACTAAAATGTTTTTTCTGTCTGAATATTAATTTGGTTACTGTGTCCAAAGGCATTCAGTCCTTACACAATACTTCTCTGCAGTCTCTTAAGGGTGAACTGTGTCTTAATATCAGTGTTGCACATAATGTCTTTTTCAGTCAGAGCTTTAGATGATGTACTGAAAGTTGGTCTCAAATCAATGTCAGCATGTCATTACAGAGTGGACCCAAGTTAAGCTTATTCACAATATAAATAATGTATAGTTTAATATGAGAATTTGAAGTTTTATTTAAAATATTTCAATAAAAAATGGCCTTAATGATTATGTTTCATTATACCATCCTGGCCTATTAGTGATGCTAATCTGTTTTTGTAAGCAAGGACAAAAGAGTCCAGATGTGTCTGAATATGTACTAAAAAACAACACAAAATGTATTTAAGGTTTTCCTCTCCTTCACTTCCTGTCAGTTCAGATACCACTTGGAACACTGCTATGAGATGTGATTCAGAATTCAAGCTCATGATTCAGGAAAGTGAATGCTTGCTAAATAGTTTGTTCACTGCAATATAATTAAGAGATGTGGGATGAAGAGACACAATCACTCCATTCCAACCTTGTTTATTTCTTTGTCTGCAGTATGTTTACCATAATCCACCCAAAAAAAAAACTCTCCACAGTCCTGGAACAGTACTTAAGAAAATTTGCAGTGAACGTGTTGCATTAAGAGGACACTGTGAAATTGAAAAGTAGCTACTGTCTCTCTGGCAATTTCTCTTTGCTATGTGGACATGTTAATGTGCATAATTAACTAATCAGCTTATGCCAGCTGGAACACTTGGCAGCTCAGTCTGACAGCTTCAGCTCCTCTCTTGAAAACATCTTGAAAGATTCTGGTTCTCCCTGTGTAATTTTATCAACTGCCAGGCCAGAATAACTTTAGCTTAGTCCCCAAATATGTCCAGTTCTTGGTGTTTATGTTTGGACTTAACAGTGTTTTGTGGCACAAAATGAATATTCTTAACTGTAGTTGAAATGCTGAAAACTACTGTCAATCAAATGATTACATTCAAATGATCCGTTGGATGTTTTTTTGTGTGTGATGTTTCTATAATTGAAATGACCACTAATTGAAACAATGTGTCAATTTGTCTCAAATGGTGAAAAATAATGTACTGACAATGTCTTGTTAAACTGAGATGTCCAGTTATTGTAGCATGTCATGTCACCATGGACACTCAATTATTAAAAAGCTACAAAACTACAAAAGACCACCAACTACATTATATTAGTATACTAGAAAAAAAAATATTCACAGCATGGAGATAAATATATATATATATATATATATATATATATATAGTTGTTCAAATGCTTGAATAATTATTTAATAAATAATAAATAAAGGAGTCATAAGTCCACGGTTTGCTTTTGAAATGAAATCTTGTCCAGTCCTATGCATCAAGAAATCCATTTTGACATTCTGTGTCTGTAAAGAGTTTCCCACTGCTTCCACTGCACACCAGAGCAGTTGTCTTGATTAATAGGAATACTTAATATGTCATTAGGGCTGATTAATTCCATTAATCTGTAAGGTTTAAAGTCATTCAGTAATGTCACTGAGAATCAATTATTCACCATGGCAACCAATATAAAGAAGACACTAACTGTGGGAGTTTAACAAATGCATATAAGACGATCACAGAATTTTAAAAAAATTGGTCAGTTCCATCAGCTGTATCAGTATAGATGTGAAACAGCACTCTGCAGTGTATAACTCTTAATGTCTATTTTTCAAAAAGTCAGACATTGTATATGCCTGTGTGCACAGAAGTGGTCCTTGGCAGTGGAAGCCATTGATTTTCTCACTGCGTCTGTATAGCATCTCCCCTTTCCTGCCTGCACAGCATGTAATATGAGACCACAAGTTTTCCTTTACCCACAGCAATCAATTTTGCTTAGTCGAGTTGCCTGGCCTGGATGGGCCCTGCCTAAGTACCTGTCTCCTCCGCCACGAAGCCCTGCATACCCTCACCCTCGGCAAAAAGCTTTCAGCGTAATAAAAAACATATCTGACTGAAGACCCAACCAATCTAATAACGGCCAGACAAGTCAGTGTGACTACAGAGCGCTAACTGTGTCACTGCTACGGAGGTGGTGTTCGTGGAGCGAGTGCAGCAGAGAGGCAAAGAAATCAAAGAAATCCTTCTGATCTTCAATTCCCTGAGAAGATGATCCACATCACAATTTCTTCTATGCTATCAGTTTTAGAGCTTGAAGTAAGATGTGTTTTTTTCACTCTGAAAGCAAAGAGCATTTACTGCCTTTTATCTTAAAAGAACAAAAAAAAATCCAATATATGAGGCCATATTTGAGGTCATACTGGGCATGATTGAGTCTGATTGATATCTTAAACTACCTAGGCCTCCATCAATCTCACATATTGTTAAGCAGAAAGACTAGGGTGTAAACGTTCACTTAGAAACATGCCATGTCCCTTTCAGGAGACATTTTCAGCCGTCAGTTACTGTAATGAAAACAAATGGATTGGCTGTTTTCATGAAGATAGAAAGCCTGGGCTGTAGCCAAAGATAACAAGGCTAAACTCTTGCAACAGAGGCAGCGTGGGTGTTGAATTCAAAAAGACTGGCATGAAAAAAAGAAGAAGAAATGACTACCTATAACTGACTGTTTCTAAGAATGATATTGAGAGCTAGCTAACAAAGGTAGGATTTCAAGATATAGCTTCCTTCACAGCTGACAGTGTTCACATAGATGAAGTCTTTTCCTATCATATATAACTGAATCCATTGGCATGCATCACCATTTGCACACCATCAATTACTATGCCAGGGACATAAGAGCTAATCTTTGAGAAGAGTGAAAACCAGCTATATGCAAGAACCTGACGGTTTGATGTTCATTTCCCTGCTAATACTGTATACTGATGTAATCTCTACAGTAGCTATAACAGACAACAGATTTTTATCTCAGATAGCATCTTACCTGTAGCCACTGTGACTGGTCACTGTGTCCAGCTGTCCAAGCATTGACCTTGCCCTGTTTGTCCAGCCGGGCCTTTCCAGGCTCCCAAGTAAACATGTCCATGTTGAGAGTCCTGAAGATGCTGGAGGCTGTGACCTGGTAGTCCTGGATATGGCCTGACTTCATTCCCAGTGGTTCAGAGCAGCCTGGCAACAACAAAAACAAACAGATTTGTTCTAACCTTCCTGAACTTACAGCCCCTGCCCAAAAAGAAAGTTAAAAAAAGCATAATTTTCACTGCTGGTACTACATAAAAAATGCAGCATGAAACAACTGTGCAGTAGGCACACTGTAGTGGATTTTCAGATCATTGTATAATTAATTTGTGTGTACAGCTGGATGAAGCTCAGCTCACTCACCTGTTAGCTCACAACCAAGCAGCTCCATGCGTAAGGTACAGTGCCTCCTGCAGACTTGGGGGTAAATGCGCACGTACTGGGCTTCAATGGGAGGGGTGAAGGAGTTGGCTGATGGAGCGCTGTTATCGACATTTCCTCTGAAAATCTGTTGTAGGGGATGAAATAACAGCAGATGGGGGAAGGGAGGATGGTGAAGCAGATCAGTTTTGCCGTAATGTGGCAGTCTATCTGGCGCTGTCTCTAGTGTCTACTCCACACTCAACAAATTGCTGTCATTCAAGGTCAATGAGCTAGAATTACAGGGAAAAATAGACAATTTCTCGCACGATTTGAGCCCGTAATTCATAAGAACAGTGGTGTGTTTTAAATTAGTGGTCCAATTATATCACTATACCTTCTGGAGTGTTTTATCCAAATGACCTGAGATAGTCAGACATAAACTCTCTGATTTGAGTGATGTACTCCATGTGTGAGGCGCAGAGAGAGGGCAACAGAGAGAGAGAAAGCAAGGGAGAGATAGAGCAGCGTATTTTCATGCGATACAGGAAATCAGGATATAGGAGCTGTCACTGGGTGGCAACAGGTCAGTGTGAAAAAAAATCCCCAACTTATATTAAGACAAGTGTGTAACTGCTTTAAACACACTGACAGGTCCTACTGTACAGGTATTTATCCCAGTGTGCTCATGCAGTTACAACTTTCACCTTCAAATATATTCCATAAAAATTTACACTCAATCATGCACATCCTTGCTTTCTGGTAACCTAATTTTGACTGACAAGATAAAAAGACAGACAACAAACGAAACTGAGATCACAGAATAGTCAGCTCCAGACTCATTGTTCCGTGTGATAAATTTGAGAAGAAGTTTGGAGGTCTGGGGTCATTCGGAGCTCGGCCAAATGGAGGACAGCCGTGGTTTGCTGTCAGGAATGATGGAACGTTGTGTGGCCTATTTGGTGGCTGTTCATCCCCAAATAGTATAAAAATTCAATCTAGAAGTCATAAAAGTGGAGGGGGGTAAGGGGCAGCAAGATGGGCCCGGTGTGTGCTAGCTAATTAAAAAGCCATCTCATCACGTCCTCCACCCTGCCCTTGACTGAGTGCACAGTCTCCAGTCACCGTGTGTGCATGTGTGTGAGTGTGGGCATGTGTGTATCTTTGTCTGTGTATTAGAGAGTGAAAGGCTAAAGGGAAAGAGTGGAGAGATGACAATGTGTAGTGTGGACAGTGTGTATGCCTGTGTTTGTGCGCACACATGTGTGTGTGTCTCACCATATCCTCATCTTTGCCCTTGACTTTGTATGTTCTCCAGGTCTTCCCGTCATCACTGTAGGCTACTTTGTAAGACTTGACGTACTCTGGGCTGCCGATACGCTTTGCACCCTGGGTAATTAGGCCGGTGACCCTCATTCTCCTCTGCAGGTTTATCTGTGGAGTCAAAGAAAAGGCAAAATTAAGAAATTATAGCTTCATTTTCAGATAGTTTGAATGTGTGCATGAGCAGTGTGTGCATGCAAGTCATGGGGGAATCAGTTCACTTCCTTGTATCTTTTCTGTCAGGGCCATCCATCTTATTCAGAAAGTCTGTGATCAAATGGAACATTTAATCAATCCTCACGCTCCAGATCCAGTCTGTCAACCCTGTGCAGACTGTCAATATGGTGCCAATGTAAAGCGGCTTGGAGAGCCGAGAGGAAAAGAAAAGCTAAGAAAGGGGAAGGTGATGAATGTTTCCATAGATCTGGTGTAGCACGTACAAAGCAGGATCATTATTATCTAAGCATGATTGCCGTGCTACACACCAGTTTAAGGACATAGAGTGCATTTCAGCAATATCACACCTGTTTCACATATTTCCTCTCACAGAGTAGCAACAGCGTGTTGGTAAAGTTGCTGCACATATGCAGCTTTAATATTACATGTTTGCTTTTATTTCTTTACTTTATATCTTTCACACTATGGCTCAAAGCCTTGGAGACCTATGAGTGATGGCACACATGTGACATCCATGTTTTTCTATCTGTATCTTAAACCTATCAATGCAGGTTGACTACAAAATTGTCTCACTCGCCCTGTAATTCTGGTGAACTTGTTTAAAAAATGTTATTTTGTTATTTTGTTATTTTTCTTAACGGATGATGACAGCTGACGACAGTTCACTTCAGTGCAACATGAAGAAGCCTGTGATGACTAAAGAGTGGTGCTGTGTTGGGTTACTCACACACACACACACACACACACACACAAACACACCTACATAGACATACACATACACACACACAAACACACACACAATGCCTAATATTTTTCTTTTTTTTTTGATTAACAAGTAGGGCAGAATAACACAGGGCAATTTAAATACTGTAACACACTTGTGAAAGTCTGTGACAAATAAGATGAAGTAAATAAATGGTGATGACAATTATTCATTAACCATTTTGGCATTACATTAACAACAAGCTGTTTTATCTTGAGGACAAAAAAGACACTGGCTCGTCCAGCTCACCCAGTGACAAAATATAAAAACACAGCTGTCTAGTCTTGCATAACTGCAGAACAGGAGGGTGGCAATAAGCCAGTATTGAGTGATTATTAAGGAAAGGACCATTAAACTGCAATGACCAAACCTAAGAAAGAAATGCAGACTAAATAGATTAATTACTCCTATGAATTGGACTATTATGGCTTAAGGGTGCATTTATTATTACTATTAAATGTTTAAGGATATGTGTTCCAGACAACAACATTTTATGTGATATGGCAAACAAACAAGATCATGTTACAGTTTATGTTTGTGAAGTTGAAATCAGTTTCTATTTAAGAACATGAACCACCTTAAAGCTGACCCAGGATAAACTTCACTGACAATGTGACCACGTTCAGAATGGTATTCCGGGGGCTTGAGCTCATTTTCCGTTGAAGAAATGTTAGCATTACTATAATATACGGCAATTTACAAGTAAAATATTTGAGAGCAAAAGCTCAAACAGAAAGTCTCAGCCCACTAAGTTATACTCTCCTTTTTGGTTAATGAAAAAACTCTAAGCTGTGTCTCCTGAGGACATTAGAGATTAGAGTACAAATCCTTACAAATCCAGCACAAGAAAAAAACTGTTTATGTTCACCAACCTTGTTCGAACTGTCAAAAACTAATGGAGTAATGTTCAATAATTTTATTGCAGTGTGGATTTGCTCTCTAATTTCCATGTGCAGAGACAAGACTCAATTATGCATATTCCTCAACATACTTAAACTGACGTATCAAGTTAATTATACATAAGAACCCCTCTTAAAGCCTTAGAGCTGCAATGACCCACTATTTCTCATTCGCTGCGTTTCTTCGCTCTCCTCAGTTTTATCCATAGAGATAGATATTTTGTGCACTAATTAGGAATCCTGTCACTAAAAGGCCACTGCTGGGGTAATTGGGGTGATCCTTCACATTTTTAATGACCACTCAGAAACACGTCTGTCACCTCAGCACTAATAGTGATGCATTTATTTGTTTGAGTGAAGCATCATTGGAAACATCCTCCATGAGCAGGCCTTTGTCTACAGACTTAAATGTGTCAGCTTGGAGGAAAATGCCTCATTGTAACAGAGATTAAACCTAAAATGCTTAAATGGCAGAAAGGTGTGATTACACAGAAAAACACAAATTACTAATAACGACAACTAATTTCGTACATAATGTTTGTATGACCTGAAAAGGTTGTCAGTTTGTAGCTTGAATGCACCATGGAATTAAATCAAAATTTAGATGACACATCAGGAAGCAACTACCATGATTCAGGCATTTTACTTTAATTATTGTCTGCATAGTTTGATGCAAATCTTTATCAATGTGTGGAATAAAAATGTCTAAACTTTCTCTATTAACAGAATTGTGTGTCCTTGGCATATGTATGCACTCTCTGAGTTTGCTGTAGAGACTTTGTGCAAACGAGAGCTAGAAGGAAGACTCCAGAAGATGAAGTTTAGAATGAACTCTTACCCTTTCACCAATTCACCCTTTCCTTTTTCCTAAAACACACAGTATCATGTGTATGAAGTGCTCTGGGTAAGAATGTCTGAGCTGCCGAAGAAACTAACTCTCTAACTTTATTTGCAACACAAAGAAAAATACCACTTGTTTGCATGGTTTGATATAACTGGGTCTCTCTCTGAAAAACGTTCACTACTGTGAGAAACTGTTCAGCATGTAACCACCGGCAAAATCCTGGAGCTAAATCTGTCCTGAGCTGTAATTCACTCACTCTACCTTCAAGAAACTAAAGCAGTTTTCTGAAGCATCCCTGAAATAAAAAGCAATTACTGCAAGTTCTGACACACACACTTTGATTTGCCATTGGCCCTTATGAGATCACAGGTATAATTTATATTATTATTAGTCAAGAATTATGTGTTTGTAACTATAGCTGGCATTTTTCTTTATTTTCTGACATCTTAGGGACAACACAGTTTATTGATTAATAAAAAAAAGATCAATAGCATAATCAATAATGAAAATAACCATTGTTTGCAGTCTAATCATAACTAAAACTTAAATTATTCATCTCAAATGCTTGCTTTGTTCTAGTGCTGTTGTAAGGAACTGGTTCCCTATCTTATGTCATATTATATGAGAACCTGAAAGCCCTCTGCTAAACAATGAATAACATGATATAACTTTTTTATACTTTCCATTAAATTCTCCCCAGAGCTCATTAAGCCTGAAGTAAACAGGCAAAAACACATTTATTTACAGCTACAGCCTTTGGGTGAAAATGGAACTCACTACAGAGTGGTTAGCTTCCAGTCCTTTATATTGCCAAGACCACTAACTATTACCAAATATAATCATACCTACAAGTAAGACCTCTCACACACACACACACACACACACATACAAAGGTCATGAGTGAAAAAAACATCCTGATTACACACTGAGATGAGAACTGTTGAGGGAATTGCAACAGTATTGTAACAATTAAACTGCCCTGTGTCCTTGAAACTAGCAAAGAGCCCTGTGGCACTGTTGTCTGAAAAAAAAAAGCATGTGAACGCGTACACACACTCACAAACACATACACACAATTGAACAGCCATATCTCTCTCATTGTGCTCTCTTTTTCTATAACACACACGTGCAGCCACTCAATTCCACCCTCAAATTGCATCAGCGTTTAGTTTTCCTCCTTTTCTTTTTGGTTGATTTACATGGTATTTGGCGGTAATCGAACCTTGACCACAGTTACACGTCAGAGAGAGTCTCAGATAGTCAGATAGATACTCATTGTAAGAGTGGCCACTCAACCAACAATCCTCCAAGAGCAGAGTGTAAAAATAATCCACAGTGTGTGTCACAACCTCACAGTAATAGCCAGTGATGTGCAATCATGTTATCATTGTGCTCGTTCATGGGCATTGCAAACGTTTAAAAGATTTGAAATGGCATAAAGAAAAAGCCCAAATCTACCACAACTGAGATGTTGTGGCAGGACAAGGAATAGGCAGCCCCTTCACTGTCATTCATTTGAACCAGTACTAACTTGAAAGAGGTGGTCTCAACTTTTAGACCACTGTTCACTGTTAGAGACTGATGAATTACTCATAGACATCTGTTTATAGCTCTCAGTGTTAAAGGAGTTGCATTAAGTTTAGGCCCAAGAACCCTGACTCATTTGTATCTGAGAATAAATTTTGGTAGGAAATTTAATAGGAGTCCAAAAATGTGTTTTTGTATCACAGCGTGTGTATCCAAAGGCTTTATTCAATTACAAATGATTGCAGTCATGCTGTGATCATGAAGTAAACCGTGACTGAAATGCGTTTGTCAGGGTCACATCTGAACCACATAACAGACTGTAGAGTTGAATGTTTTAATAACTAAGGTTACACTGGAATGAAAAGGGAAAAGCTCCCCAGACAGACACAAAATGAGTCTTAGCACATTTGAGCCAGGTTGTGATGATATACGTACATATCAGAAAATGTGAACACGTGTTGGAGATCTGCACCTAAACGTCATGTCATTAACTGTTTATTGTCAATTATGCATAGACCCTCTTAGCCTTCATAAGTAATTTGGATTGTTTCATTCCTCCAACACAGCCGACTGGAGCTATATTTTGCTGATATTGGACAGACTGGCAGCATATTTCCCCTGAGTGTTCAAATGCAATTTTATGTGTGAGCTAGTCGTGACGAGGCTGTGGAAAACTGATATTCTCACACTACATAGATGTGTGAACAATAGCAAGCTCATACACATGCACACACGCACACACACACACACACACACAATTCACAACCCGACACAAAACACAAACAAACATATATGAATGCCATGTCTGCCCTATGATGTATTATTCAAAGTACGTTGCTCTATGTTTGATTCATTTGTTGAGGTTTATGGGGGGAAAAGCTGACTCTGGCTGACGTACAAAGATACATACTGCACTAGAGAAAAACGTACAAATAGCCAGGTAAATCTGATCCCTATGCTGATAGGGTTGTCATCTGTCAGTACAACCTGTTTCACATGACAGACATGCAAACACCACATCACTATGCACTACAAAAGTACACCACCGATTCCTTTGCATAATCCCAAAACACTGACATGACTGTACACCTCTGTACTCACGTCCCAATTATCCAGGCCTTCTGTAGAAACACACAATGCCTACAGCATCCTGCGCAACATCCCACGTGGCATCATTAAAGTCAAACAAACCGCCTGAATGTTTTATGGACCGTTCTCCTCAGCCTCCTCGTGTGTCAGGCTCCTTTTCTTTCACTCATGTCAACTGTTTCTTTGACTCTCTCTCTCTCTCTTTCTTCTTTTTTTTTCAAATCCATTTTTGCCCTGTCTTACTATTCTCTTGTTGTTAGGTACAGCTTCACTTTCTCCATCACGCTGTCACACCGTAGTATGTTTTTCTATTATATTTTGTTCACGGTTCACTGACTGTGTATCATGTATCTGATAACAGCCCACTTCAAAGGTTGCTGTCAGCATTTCTGTCATCACAGAAATGACTCGAAAGTAAGAGAAACGCACTGAAGGTGAACATTGAAGGTGAAGGTGAAACATTATTTATGTATTAATTGGTTAATTAATTTGATAAACAATTAATTACTTTTACTTTTTATCTTTCTTTCTGGAATACTGTGTAATTTATGATATGAAACTGTCATAAAAAGGACTGGACCAAGCCTTCAGACTTGAGTTGGTTGGGGATTTATATACCATAGCTATGCATCATCTGACAGTAGTTTTATATGCCACAGCTGTTTCAGCACAGGGCCATGATATATGACTATTTGCTCAACATAAATCCAGATAACCAGTTATACATACTGAAGGTCTTGTGTTCATACACTGGAGGGATATCATTTGAGGTGGAGGAGCTGCAGGGATATCATTTGAGGTGGAGGAGCTGCAGCAGCCTTATGTAATGAAATCTTCAACACAGACATACAGGGTTCCGGGAGTTAAAAATCTGTAAGAGTACACACTGGGAATTATTTCTGCATTTAAACAGGCCCAAAAACTAAAAGCAATGGGATCTGGGCAGGGCAAGATTGGTGAGGACAGAAGTTTGGGATGTGATGTGCAGCAATAATTCAGGACCACCAGGCAATTTATCGCATCGATCTGTCTATGTGGCCCTTTGACAAAAAGCACCGACTAATGGCACAGCATGAAGGTTGACTTTAACAAAGCCTAAGTAAGATGATACTCATGTATCAATGCTTTGCTGCTGTTGTAAACATCTAGTTTCCTTTCATTTTGCAATTCATAAGGCTGTTTTAGATGAAGGCCCCCAGGTGGTCATAGAAACACTTATCACAAAAGGACAAAAAGATGCACTGAGTGGTTAAGCTGAATTCAATCTTTTTTTGTAGATAACAGGAAAATTACGGTTAATATTACTGTTGAGTGTTGTGTAAAATTATACATCAAATCTCTCTCTTGACAGCACAGTGATTTGCAGATCAGAATTTACATAAAACATAACAAAGCCTCAGTGCATTGAATAATGACAATCCTATGCACTGTAGTTATGTTGCAAGGGAACTTCTTTTACAATGTATGACACAAAATACAGCAAGTGCCAATGTAGTTACATTTGTGTGCCTGTCACAACTACAAATGGCAAAGATGGCACAGTTGAGTAACTGTCAGCAACAAAATCATCATAAAGTGAGATGCTACAGCCACTAGCTGACAACAGTTATGCCCTCTCACGTTGCTCCTCACACTTGACTAAACGTGCATCTGTTCTACCCTAAGCTTACAGTTTTTATTGCTTTTTATGACCAGTAAGTGAGCCATCAATTTTACAGTAGAAGTAATTAACTCTACCATTAAAACATTCAACAATTAATACTAACCATTGACTACAGTCATGTGACATTATACAGCAAGGGACTTATAAATATAAAATAAAAAAGACAATTTAAAACCTCAACAAACACAAGAATAAAGTCTATCTATAATTAAGACTGTGTCTGTGTCTTAATCCATTTGTGTCTGGCCCTGGCCCGACTTTGCATATCTCATGTCCTGTGACTGTGCTTTACCTGGATCCAAGGCCATCTGTCATTTTCGGCAGCAGTCCAGGCATTGACCAGGCCCTTCTTGTTGAGGCGTGCAAAGTACGGGTACCACTTCTGCAAGCCGAATAGAGCACGGTGGGTGGAAGAGGCTGTTATCTGTTGGTTGGAGATTATGCCGCCCTCCATGCCCAGTGGTCCAGAGCATTCTGAGTGAAGAGAGGGAGAAAGAGACAGATGAGCCTTAATGTAATTTCAGAAGTCAAAAATCTATCTATGGAATGCATAGAGATTCTTAAAAATACCACAAAGACCACATTTTGTAATGTCAGTGATTTTGTCCTCCACACCTTCCTTCATTTTTCTCCTCAATGTAGCCACATCAGCGTCAATATACTTGTTTATCTCAGTCTTAGAGATACAAAATCTGGTCTTCTCTGCTTGTACAGTAACAGACATGGTCATTAAAACTGCAACTTTTCTTTCCTTCTCCATTGTATCTTTGTGATGACCTTGTCTCCTGTCTCTTACTATAAATGTTGCTTTGATTCACTACAAGAAAACTTCGAATGTTCCATTATGGCAAAATCCTTTTAAGTCCCTGCAGTCAACGAAAGGAATCTTCTCTGCCTTCATGCTGTCTGCAAGAACTAACAGGTTGCTCCCTCATCTCTCCTATCAGTAACAGAGTCCTCAGGCTTCCACCCAAAGAGCTCTGGCCATTTCTGGACAGCATCATACCCAAAGTCAACAAGCTTTATAACATCCTACAGGCTGCAGTATTAAAGTGAGAAACCATGACAGCAATATCTTCAATCAAACCCACTGTCCTTTCTTCTTTAAGCAGCTTGTTTTCCTTTTTAATCCTAATTGGTATGTCCATTTTAATAGTCATACCTGTGGTGAAGGGATTCTGGCAACGTTTATCCACTAGAGAATTTATTGTGCTGCAAAACAAGTACTTCTTTGTGTTTCCATTAAAAAAAGCTATTGGGAAATCAAATAATAATAGAAAACACATGAGAAATGAAACACAATGAAGAAACAGATGGAGAGGGGGCATGTATCCATATTGTACGTTAGATAAATACATACTAAAATATACAATTGTATTGCATAAAAGTTTTAAAAAGTTGCCTCTGCTCTGCAAATGAGATTTTCTTAATTGTTGATTTACACACAAAACATCTGCTTTCCTATCAAAACAGTTTTGCTTTCCTATCAAACAGAGTTTGTGAGATTCCACCAGCTCAGGGTGGATTGAATTAGGATGGGATATGCATACAAATTGTGTAGTTTGCCTTTAATTTCAAGATAACTTAGCCTGTGGAAAGGCATCATAATTGAGGACTCAGATGTGCCGAGTAAACAACATAAACAGTTCAACTGGGGTTGAATTGTTGCTTCACACAGCTGTGGTGTATTGCCATCAAAAGTTAATCAGATGTGATTGCAGGTCTTCAGAATCCTTCAGCAGGAATAAATTGTGTTACAAAGTTGTGTAACTGAGATTGTCTCTCCATTGGATGTCATTTAAACCTTAAGTTGTAATATGCTACTTACTCACTTACTGTAGAAAGTTGTTTAGAAATGTGTTTCCCATGCTGTGCAATTTGAGGAAAAACAACAGCTGAGAAGTGACACATAGTCGGTTTGAATTCTGCTGAACAGTCAGAAATATTGCATTTCTTCTATCCCACTGTTCTCTTAAACTTGAAGATGTGCTCTGTTAGATATGACAGATGCTTAAGTTTTAATTAGTCTTTAAGTAAAGCATATAGTTGACATAAATGCAAGGATTTAAAGCTGAATTAAAACTTTTTTTTGTTTTGAAATATTGTTCATAATTGAACATGATTTGCAATTATATGAATGTTATATATTTCTGCAGCTACCATTTTCTTTACTAGTATATTTTTCTCTGTATAAGGAAAAGTGCTAACATTTCAGTAATTCATGGTCTGCTCCAAAAAAGGATGGAAACCATTGCAAAATATGCTCAAGACACGTGCAAGAAAAGGAATGCTACCATAGGCTAAATAGTCTATCAAGAGTTTAGTGGATGTTTCAACATCCTATTTAATGGCGAAGCAATATGTTGAATAAGTCAATATCAAAAATATATGTATCAAGTCAAACACTGAAACAAATGCATATGCATTCAAATTGTTCTCAATATTTCAATTGCGGTCCATTGTGGTCTTCTTTTTAGTCATGATGTTGCCATTGCATTTCTTATTGTGTAACAAATACATTTATTTTGCTCTTCAATTTTATTTTTGAATTTATAAAAAAAATATATATATATCATTTTTGGTTTAGTATTAGAGAGGAGAAAAGATAATTACTTATGCTGTATTTAATTTCATTGATACACAGTTGCATCTAGTTTATGATGGAAAGGGTGTGGGAGGGATTCTGCCTACTCTGTTCTTGGTGTTTATTTCTAATGACAATTTGGAGAAAAATGATTTGAGCAATACGCTCATAATTTATTATTCTTCTTTTTGTGAACAGTGGTGGGTAAGATAAAATTACACTGCTGTTTTTTCTTGTTAACTTGTCTCTAGTCACAGTTTAAATGACTGTGTTTAAGGGCCTAAACACCACAAGAGCTGGGAAAGCTGAGGGAACTTGGAAGTGTCCCAAGAGAATGAGGACATATCTTAAGCTCAAAGTTCAGCCAGAGGCACTGCTTTCTCATGTCTCATGAACTGTAAGTGTCCGTGCAAACCTTCAGGGGAAGCCCGGCACAATGGTCAGTAGGCTGTAATACCATCTTCACCATTTAAGAAACGCACCTAAACATTTTAAACAGTGCTGGAACTGAGACACACACACACATACAGACGAGGCACACACACACATACAGACGAGGCACACACACACACATACCAGCAGTGACAATGAATCTGGCATTGAAAGCTGTAAGAAGACTTTTACCACAGAAGAAAGCCAAGAGTCAGAGAAGAATGGAACAATGAAAACAACCCTAGCACGACTTATCCAGCTGCTAAAACAGTGGGGTTCTAGGCAACAGGGAGCTGGGGAGACAGTGAAAAATGTCTGAGGACAGTCCAGGGGATCGACTGGAGACTGGAAGAGTGCAAAGAGCATATCTTTTTGTGTGTGTCTGTGTGTACAGAGATGTGTTTACATATTCCACAATAGTAAATTACTCTTGCTTCGCTAGTTCTTCCTTGTGTGTGACTCATCGCCTCCAGACTGATGAGAGGATGGTGTAGGTGGATGTGGTAGCCTACTGCTGAAGCTATACGAAATGCTTCTGATTTTCAGAAATCTGATGGATGAACGTCATTCTGCCCTTTTACCAGTCTTAGAAAGGATAAACAGCTTTCATTTTGAGACATGGTAATCCAATTTAAACCCATGGCTCAGAACAATGGGGGACCTTTCTTATCAGATTGTAGACTAGGGCTTTCCAAAATGACCACTGTGTTAGATATACAGTAATCCAAGGCACACTTGCACTTTAAACTGTGCTGTTTTTAACTTTGAATTGTGTTGTTTTATCTTTGAACTGTTTTAATATTAACTACACTGTGCAGCACCTTGAATCTACCTTTATTGTATGACACTTGCTTAATAAATAAAACTGCCTTGCATTTCAGCATTCTTAGACTAATATAAGGACAATTGATATCTTTAGTGGCCAACAAAGAGCGAATAAGAGGTTTATATGTCAGCAAAGATACACACTTTGGGCCAGGGAGCAATTGATTAAAACCAATTTCTCCCATTATATAATTTTAACTTTGAAAACAACAAGCAATATATATTTTAAATCCTAAGGGTATGTTTGCAGGTTCAACAATCAATTCCGTTCAAATCTGAAGTAATGGGAACATGTCTTATAGCTGTTGCAGTCATTTGAAATGGCTCAATGCATGTTTTAATTTTCTAGGGCTGAGTTGCTAATGCGAATGCTAATGATTCTCTAAAACTGCTTAGGTACAACAGTACTTCCAGCTAAAATGACAATCCTAACACACGGATGTTAAACTGATGTAATGTTTGCTATCTTGGTCTTATCCTCTGAGACCCTTCCCTCCTCTACCCAACCCTGGACCAATGTGGTGTACCAACATCGACATTGCCCTCCATAGAGCCATGCCACTCATACAATGGCTAAAAACATGTTTCAAACTGACCCAAGTGGCTGTTAAAAGGGTGTTAATTGAGTTGAGGGCGATATCACTGAATGTAAAGATATAGAAGCTTCAGATCAATAGTTCACATTCTTCATGAATTCTGACTTTCAATTTGTTAGGGGACCCGAGGATTTACACATGCTATTCTGGCACAAGCACCAAATGGTATATCACCCTGATTTAACTCCTGAGAATGAAATGGGATATATTTTTCCTCATTATGACCTAACGTTAGGGCTGAGGTGCAATGTTGCATCAATACAATATCAGCTCTCTTGTAAGGTACTCTATGTGGATGTTGTGGCAAGACACTGTTGCAAAGTTGTGGTCCTTCTCACCTTGTGGCAATGATGGGCCACTCTTAACGAGCTGCCTGCCAGTCGTCCGTCAGAGCTGCAGAGCCAGCCAGCCCCCGGGCCTTGGCCTGCTGGCCCCTGAGCATACATCAGCCCTGCGACAGCACACATCACTAACACACCACTACCGTGATGTGACAGCTGAATCCATCTCCCACAAGCCCTACCTACAGCCTAAACAAATTAGAGCCCCACTGAAATTAATGCCAGCACACCAATACTAATGAGCATACGGCGGAGAGAGGGGATGAGGAAAAGAATAATAAACACACAAAACAGACGTAAGCCAAATACACTAGAAGTTCCACAGGTGACAAATGAGACTGAATGAAATGCACCTGCATTTATTATGGGTGTGTCAGCCCGTGTGTAGTTATGCTTTTGACATTGTGCAAGATAGAAACCCTCAATGTTTTTTTTAATAAATATAACTATAAATAAACAGAAACAAACACAAAAAAACCTTGCTGTTTACAACATGTCTGAGCCTTTCACCACTCGTGATTCTTTCTGTTTGACTTTACTCAGATGATACCGCTGCATTCCCGATTATCACCAAATTAGCTGGGAGTAAATTATATCATAACCAATAGCAGATTCTTTAGTGCATGCACACAGCTTCTCAACATAACCCATGATGCTGAACAGGATGATCAGCTCATTTTAATAATTTTGTTTGTTCATTTAAAGTAACCTGGCATATTTAGGTAAACCAGTTGTTTTCAACACGTAAGAATTAGTTCTATAACCTACATTAATGCAAACCACATTAAGAAAGACAATACAATGATCTGCAACTGGAATTATGCAGTTTCTTTGATACAGGGCTACAGGTTTATTTGATGTTACAGGGTGGAAAAAGTTGAAGCCAAACTTGGTGCACTTTAATCAATTTAACTTCTGCTCAAGGCAGATGGTTCTATAATCATCTTAGCCTTAAGGAAACAGGGCCCTGAATAGTCATCACCTCTCCTCGATATTGGATCTTTAACTGACCATTTAACCCATATTAGTGTCTGAGTGTGAATGTCTCTGGATGATTACAGCAGTAACAATCCAAAATTTGTTTCAGCAGAAAGGCTGAGGCAGCCTGTGCCAAGTGTTATCTCATTGTATTTTATGCCTTCTTGTATATTTTACTAGGATTCATGTTGGCAAATGATAGATATGATTCTTCTTCTAACTTCTCGCTTTCCATTGGATCATGGGAATCAATATTCAAGGCACTGTAAGTACTGTATTTAAGCAAAAATCGGATAATCGCTGAACAGACAGGCAATGGCCAGGAGCTCATTGCTGCCTTCACATAATATCCTCGCAGTGATTTTTGGTATAGCAGGAGAATGCCCAGCTGCTTAATCTGCAGCAGCCAATGTGTGTGCAGGACTTGCCCACACACACAATGTGGGTTGAAAAAACAAGTCAGAGTAGATGACGAGTCCTTGCATAAAAGTACATTCCAGGCTTTTTCTATGAGACATTTGTTGCCTACAACTGTACTTCTTATAATAAGGCTGCAACACATTAAACAAATAATACATTTAAATAGCAAAGTCTCTCTTTTTTTAATTTTTAAGGGGCATTTCACCACAAGGAATGTCACTTGTGCTTGTAATAAAAAATTGTCCACTGAGGCTCTGGAGAAGATTTTTTCAAATAACTCAAATTATGTCACAGTGATGTCTTCAGTATTATCTCAGCTTGTGCCCATTTTTAGCTGAAAGTCTGCATTGCAAAGTGAGAAAGTTAAGTTTCCAAGATGTGGGCGTTTACCAGGCTGGGAGGGTATAATGAGATTCTGATTGTCAGAAATATTAGATGGATGAGCAACTACCATTTTGTCTCCCAATATATTTCTCTTTGTAAAGTTTTCTTTTAGACATTTTGTAATAGATTACCTCCCTGATCCTGGTAAAGTCTCAGATTCAGGAAAAAAAATTTGTTCTGTCCAAAAGTATTAGGACTTAAGACTGTACTTTAGCACAATGGATTTCAAATGAAACAGACACACACAATAAAAACAAAAAAACAAGTTTATAGTGCATATCTTTAGCTTGAGGGGTGTTTGGGGTTGTTCACATCTATATTGGGTGAGCAGTGTAGGACTTATTGCCCTTCTCACCCTCGGGGGATATGTATAAAAAGGGCTATGTTTTTTACACAGTTCATCTACTGTGGATGTAAACACCATCAAAGCAAAGCTGAGAGTCAGCACTTTCACCTCATGGCCATTGTTTCATTTCAAATATAATGTGTTGAAGTACAGAGCAAAAGAAACCATCCCAATACTCACAGACTGCACTGCAACTGAAGAACCATAACAAAATAACTGAAGCTGAATTAATGGTTGTATAATACGCTGTACAAATATTTAATTTATATGGGAAAATGGAAATGAGCATCATTAAACAAATAATGAAGCTTAGCATATGTTCAATCAGCAAGACTAAATCTTTCTCCTGGAGTTTTTCACCAAATCAGTCAGGCTGCGTTTCTTTACTCCGCTCAATTCACAAATTTCCCTTCGCCTTCTTTCATTAAAAACAACTATAGCAACTTGCAAAATTTCTCTTTTTTTAATTCCCCCTTCTAGTCTGTTCCTGAACAACTGCGCTGCACCTGAAGTAAGATAGAAAAACTGATGAATTAATTAGTGAATAGCAGTACAGGGGTGGCTAAGGGCTCCGAGTCCACTGATATATTAATCCTAGACTGAGGACACAAAATCCCCACAATAGCATAATAAACACACAAGGCCCCTTTGAGCTCTCCGAAAGCCACTTCTGATCAGACAGAACTCTCCCTCTTTCTACACAGCCACTGGGCAAAAACAATGAAATGAGGGCTTGCATGCACAAAGTGGCTGTGCCTTCTCAGTTTTCAAATTTTTTAAAATTATTATTATGCTTTAGGGTTTGTTGTGTTTGTCTAAACATGCATTTTTTTCTTGTTATCTGTGTACTCTATTAAACTAATATAAGGAGACATTTGAATTTATCTTTAAGATTCAAATTAAATTTAAATACATGGGCTGTGCATACTTTGGCACATTCTATGTTGCTCAGATCTCATATTCACATTAGTCAGTCTTTTCAGCTGACAGCTTACGTGTAACTGATCTTAATGGATGGGGTTTCAGGATAATGTCTTTCATTCAGAAGACATGAACATTGTAGGCTATGGAATGTAAAAACTTCAGATATTTAAGTTTCAGAGAAATAATAAATGATCACGCTCCGCTTATCATATCCAAATATATACAAGGGGAAATTCAGTTGTGTGCATTTGCCTTGGAATCTGTCCAGTAGTATCTAAAAACATCAGCTCATAGAGAAATATTTAATAACACTCCAGATTTCTCATTGTGTAATACAAAAAAAACCCTCTGAACTTCCAAAAGTTGCACAAGACAGAATGTGGATTACAATTAACACATTTCAAATATGTCTTTGATCGATCATTGGGCTTGGCTGATATACCTACCTGGCAACTCTGAAATTACATACAGCATCAGGTGTGCAGTTAAAAATAAACGGATAGTTGTAAAAGAGTTAAAAGACAAAAATAAATAAATAAATAAATAGGAAAAACATGAGCACTTACTGTATTGACAGTTCCTCCCCATGTACTCCCCCGGGCATTCGCAGGAATAGTTGGCAACCAAATCTGTGCAAATGCCCCCATTTTTGCATGGGTCCCTTTCGCATTCGTTAATATCTGGAAGAGAAAAAAAGGTGCATTCATTTATTTGAAGCAGACATGTAGGCAATTAGCAAGACCTCATCCTCATTAGAATGCATTGGTAGGGAGCATATATTGAATTTTCTTTGTGTGTTACTTGATTCTGTCTGCCCAATGAAGCTCCTACAAAGACACTGGTTTCTTGAAACTAATAAATCACATAGCTCCTCAGGAGACCATTAATGCTGGAATACAAGCCCAAGTTTTGAAATGTTAAGAACAATTAACCTGGTGTGCTATCTTCGGAATAGAAATAATTATCATACTTTTCAATGTGAGTGCTGTACACAATTTTTTGCTCTGCAAACCATGCCTGCTCAGTTAAACAAAGCTACGTAAAGTAAGTGCCAATATGACTGTTTAAAACACATTGACATTCATAAGAGTTATCATTTGTCTTCTATATATACATTATATACTGTAGCTGATTGATAAAATATAGTTATGTCCAATAGTGAAGTAGTCACATGGACTGGATAAATGAATGATGAATGATAACAACAATTTGCTAGCATATTACAAGCAAGTTATATTTTAGGTACTACACAGTCAAATTGCATTTGTCAATGCAATGCAAAAGAGCAGAACAGACTGACTCAGTGTGCTAAATCACTGAATTATCATCCACTGTACAGCCACCTTTAGTTTATAATTGCTCTCTGAAATTTGATTCATCTAACCAATTGCAGAAAGTGACAGACCCACAACCCCAACCATCATACCATTTGCACTCTGTTCTATAGGGAAAACGGTTTTTAGTAATAGTTTATTATTGGAGCGAGGAAAAGGGGAAACTTTTGAACATTTTTGAACAAGTTTCTAATGATTCCAAACTTGCTGATGGCTGCTAAAATACTTTTAATCCTCCAAAACATATCCTGAGTCGTCTGTGACTCATAGGTACAGTTTGGCTTCATGAATATGTAACCAGATTTGAGATTTGGAAAGCTTAAGAAAGTGTAACATGATTAAAGTAAGTCTGTCATGGTGCTTCATCTCTCTGAGATTTTATCTATAATATCTATAATAGTCACTTGGGTACATTTGTAAATTTGTAATATCTAAAAATATATCTTTTTTTCTGTGAATGTCTTATGCTCTGGAGAAATACAGTCATGGTCTTCACACATAACGGTCACTGAGGTACTGTGACTGGAAGCCGTAGCATCTTTAATCTGCAGCAGAGCAGAAAACTAAAAAGTAAATAAATAAATAGAGTATGATAATAAAAGAGAGAAGCACAGAGAGAGAGAGAGAAATGAGAAATGTTTAGTGATTCACCCAAAAATCCACAGGGGACCCACGAGATAACTATATTTGGGTGAAAAGATGTTTGATGAAATTGAGCTGTAAAACCTTTCCCGAAAGACTATACAGAAAGTTATGCAGGTTAAACTTATGCACGTCTATTTTGTTTTCATTTATCTTGTACGCACGAGAAGACATTGCGTGTCTGTCTGGACGCATAGAATTTGTATAGAATAGATTTACAGTAAATTACTGTGTTTTTATTTCATTTCTTTGTCCATTATAAGCAAACAGCCAGCACATGCAAGACAAGGCCTGCTGTGTCTCGTAATGTGACGGCGACATCCTGCTTCAGATATAGCTGATGATAGAGAAACCATGCTTTTTGTTCATCCTTTGCAACTACAGCCATTTGATGAAATACCATGAGTTATAAATCAAATGTACAGCGCAAAAAGTGAACAGCAAAACACTCATCATCTGAATGTTACACAACTTGTATATTTTCTTGCAACATTCTTGGGAAGATTGAAAAAGATTGTTTGAGCCAGCATGTCATCTTGTGGCATACAGAGCACAACAAAAGTGCAGATTTTCACAGTTGGCACTAAACACTACTCTTGAAAGACAGACTGTATCAACACACAACTATGCTGGACACAAAGTAGATACATCTGATACAAACTGCAGGGTCCACTCAATGTATAAATTATAACAGAAAGAATTGTAACATATTTACCCAATAATTTTGCATGTCAAGCTGTGAAGATGCATTCATATGACATTTATTATGATGGGTGTTGCCTTAGTTTTCCATTTTGCCTTTGCACAAATGGTTTGTGATTGTCTTTATGTATTTTGGTATCTGTTTCCCAAGACATTTTCGAAGCCATTTAATAAAGCCATTAAAGCCCCAATGTGCAGTTGTTTCACAGTCCCCATCTCCCCAAAATTACATCATGTTTGGGTATACATCGTCTACAGTCATCTGGGGACCATGTAGTTCATTCTACGTGGTTTGCATCATGAAGACTCAACTGATATGAGACAACTGGAGAGATAATATGGACTGTGGCTCTAAAAACTGAAGCTGAATTCATGACCTTACTTAAACAATAACAACCTCATGAAATATGCAATCAATATAAAGCTTACAAATTAAAAAAGCATTAAATCTATGTTTTCTCATATATTTGGTTGAAAAATGTTCAAGATCAGGTATTTGTCAGTTATTGTCAACTCCCACCTTATGTAAGAGAGCCAGTCACTCAGGGACTCAAGGTCTGTCATTAATGGGTGGATTTGGGTGGTTTTGGGGATGTTGCAACATTTCAAGTGCTTGCCGTAATCAGAAAGCAAAGTAGGTCTCCATAGCTAATTTCAGAACTATCATGTTTCAAATGTGATTCAGAAATATGCTTTAAGCCAATCAATCCCCCATGTTTACCTGTGATCTTTCTTATGCTCCTGCCTCAGCTGCAAGTGTTTTGATGAGTTATAGTACAGGACAATCTGATATAATTACAAATCCAAAAACAGCCAGCATGACTAATACAAGAAACAAGCCTCCTACTGACAACACATATAGCACAGAGATGAACAAACTTTTCAGAATGAAACATTCTGATTATGGGAGATTACTGCAATCAAGGGGGATTATGTTTTAATTATAATAATGATCCAGCTGGCGAGGCCATACAATCTTGTGTAGAAATGTTAACCTGAAAAATGCCAACTAGAACCCGCTTTGTGTGGAACAACAATGGCCAATCCTCCTTAAACAATTCTGCTTTTCAGTTTTTAATGGCTCTAATCCTCAAGAACCACTAATTGTTAGCAACTGTGACAACAGTAATAAAAATACCAATACAGTTTTTAATCAAGGGTACAGCATGACCATATGAAACATCATTCATGCATTTCACAGCAGAGTAATTTGTACAGGGAATATTTGGTGTTTACTAATTGCCTTAGTGGAACATCCAAATGGAAATGTGATTTTATAGCCACTTGTGAACATTGAGATATAATGATTTCAATGCATTAGCTGAATGTAGAGACTAAATGCAGTAGCATTATTGTGAATATCTAAATGCTGTAGAGTTTAACTGAGCAAGCTCTTAAGTATAATATATGGAAAGTGAACAAAAGGCCCTCCATAGAGACCATTACACCAAATGTCAAAGAAAAAAAAAAACAATATTAGAAACAGGAATGTACATCCATCCATCAATGCATTAGCTATACCTGCTTATCCTTAAGGGTTGCCTGAGGGGATTGGAGCCAATCCTATCTGACACTGAGCACATGCTGAACAGACCAAAACATAAAACCAACACAATTCATTGTTATTTCTCCACTACAATCACGCCACTTAGATAATGAGTGCTGTTGTTATTTAAGTTAATATCCTTCTTTATTGTTGTAGGTTCAAATACAAAGGTTAGCCAAATGGGCGAGCCAGTCAAACAGCCTGGAGCGCAACATACCATAGAGAGAGGAAAACACAGCTAGCCCATCTTACAATGTGCTTCCCTTTTATGAGAGGCCATCAGCCCTTGGGAGATCAGCACAGGGAAAGTGAGACTTAAAAGCGGTGTATTGCCAGTAAATCAGGTGGGAGAAAAGGGATTACTTCAGGGAATGCAGTTAATCCACTCGATAAAAACATTGAGAAGAGAGGTGAGGAGAAGTATGGTGAGGATGGGAGAGACAGAAACTGTGAAAGAAAGAGAGGAGAGAGGGTGAAATAAATGTACAGAGGGAAATATGTGATAGCCCAGTGGTCAGGTAAATAAAACTCTGTTTACACAACTTGTTTAACACAGTTACAGGCATACATCCAAGTTTTCCTGAGTTTCCCTCACTAGTAATAGTTAATGTCTAGCATTCTGCATTTAAATATGTCATTAAAGCCTTAAGCATTGTAAAACAACATTTTGCAACTGATGTCTTCAGCTTAATGGGAATAGTGCTATCTTGGTTATAACGATTTAACAAGCCAGTTTGAGTAAAGATTTCTACAGCGGATGGAGACAATAAAACTACCAGGCGTACAATTTAATGCAATACAAAATACCGCTCTCCAATAACACTACTTTAGTGAAGCCTATAATGTAGATTTTTTGTTGAAACTTAGTGAACATGCTGATTCATCTGAGTGTATTTAGTGGAATGACATTGACTGTAATACTCTGCAAAGTGTTTATGTATTTTTGTCCAGCCACTGCACAATACTACAATTTTTATAAACTAATTGGTTGTTCTTGTAAGACATTAAGATTAATAAAAAGATTAATACCATAGACTGTGTTATCATCATTAACATCATCATGCCTAAACCTTGCTCACAGACACAGTCTCCTAAAACGGCTATGAACCCAAAAATATATTTCTTCCGTCTCTGGTCACACTCTCACTAAGCTCTCATCGGTCCACTGGAACGTCTCGCTCCCTGGCTTTGCTCCTCTATTGCTCTCTAAAAAGTGCCTCAGTTGGACAATAATGAGAGCAATGAATAGTGCTATGTGTCAGGAACTAACACTGGCTGTGAGTGCTAAATTGGCTATGGTGTGTCCAGAGAGCAGGAACAGGCCTGTATTGGGAGGGGTCACCTGTGCCCTCTCCCCTGGGCTGCACAGACCTCGGCAGCGCCTGCACCTGCTACCGCCACACAACCACACACACCCCACTGAATCTGCTTTTCAGTTCATTGAAGAGTAAAGGGA